GTAACATTCTAGTATAATATTTCACGTATTAAAAAAAATGTAATTTTTTTAATTTTATTTAATTTTTTTTAGTTAAATAAAGTTCCGAAATTAATAATTAAAAAAAGAATTTGTGGATTTTTCCTTTTATTTTGCATTTTAAAATCACAGTCTAACAAAATTAGCATGGTTTCAAATGTACGTATATATATATATATATATATATATATATATATATATATATATATATATATATATATATATATATATATATAGGTTAGGTTCATGTGAGACGGCGTAATTTTGTGAGACCGTAAGACGCATTTTTTATTTTATTTTTATTTTTTTTAGTTAATTCAAGTTCCGAAAATAATATTTAAAAAAAGAATTTTTTGATTTTTCCATTTATTTTGCATTTTAAATTATTTTCAGAATATGTATAATGTAATATTCTATTTAGAATATTTCATGTATTTTTAAAAAAAAAATAGAATTTTTTTTTTATTTTTTTTAGTTAATTCAAGTTCCGAAAATAATATTTAAAATTTTTTTTTTTAGATTTTTCCATTTATTTTGAATTTTAAAATTATTTTTAGAATAGATGTCAGTGTAATATTCTATTTAGAATATTTCACGTATTTTTAAAAAAAATGGATTTTTTTTTGTTTTATTTTTTATTTTATTTTTTATTTTTTTAGTTAATTCAAATTCCGAAAATAATATTTAAAAAAAAAGATTTTTTTGGATTTTTCCATTTATTTTGCATTTTAAAATTACTTTTAGATTTGGTATCACGGTCTCACAAAATTAAAATGGTCTCAAATAAACTGAACATATATATATATATATATATATATATATATATATATATATATATATATATATATATATATATATATATATATATATATATATATATATATATATATATATATATATATCTTAACGTCTTATATAACATAATATAACATAAACTTAATTTCAAATTTTAATTTTTATATGGTTGTAATGTGTGGTTTTTTTATCTTTATAAATTGAATTTTTCGTAATTCATATTGCTAAAATACGAAACTCTATGTTCGCTTGGATTATAAGAATTTAATAAATTGTATGTTGTTTTCTACTAAACTTAATAATGTCATTTGGAAACTAATATTGTCATTATAATCAGCATAAAATAACAATTTTTTTTAAAACATAAAAACTAATTAACAACTAAACTACTCAATTTCAGCATAAATTACCATTTTTTTTAAACATAAAAACTAATTAACAACTAAACTACTCAATTTCACATATGCTAGACGAGATTTGAAACCCCGATTTTAAAAAGAAACAAAAACACAAAATACGATTCGTATTGTGTTAGAAGCCTTTTATATAAATCACCAATTATAATTAATTTCTTGGTAACCGATATTTGGAGCCATATTACAATATTTAGTTGTATACTAACACTACAAATATATAATATTTTGTCGACATGTGTAAGATAAACATAAGTATATTTTTTATATTCTAGATTATCTCTAATCTACTATATATACAAAGAAAAAAAAATGTCATACGGGATAGAACCCAAGTTTTTAACAAGCCACGAGTGCTATTGCTACCAATAGATTTAACCTTTTTTTTTTTTAATTATACAAATAGCCAATAAAAACACAGGTGAAGTTAGGGGTGAGCAAAAACCGAACCGATTAAAGAAAAACCGACAAAACCGCAATAAACCGCAACCGAAAAACGAAAACCAATGCAAAAACCAATGGTGTGGATTTAATTTTTGCAAAAATCGAAGGTCAACGGTGCGGTGCGGTTTTTATCCTAAAAATCGGTCCATCAAAACCGAACCGCACCGCACGCGTGTATAGTAATAAATCAATCAATGTATATTATATACATTCTATTTAAAATAGTTATAAGCGATAATATATTTATTATATGTTTATTTTGTATTTGTATAAAACTATATGGGGTGCAAAAGAAATGGTTTATTGTTAGCCAAACGTACTAATCGATTACATGTAATAAGCTTGTAACTAATTAAGTCAAAATCAACCAACCTTCAATCATTAATTAGTTTGTGAGAGTGGTCAGAAGTTGTATTTTAAGCGATTTACAATTTTTGATTATGTAATTTTGTTTTGAGCTGAAAATGAATGTATTAAAAAAAAACAGCACAATACAAACTTATATGCACATGGTTTTCAGTTCTTACAGTTTTAAAAAACCGCACAAAAAAACATTAAAAAAAAAAACTGCACCAAATTCTTAACACGGTTTACAAACCGAAACCGCACCGATACAAATCGAAACCGCATTTAAAAACCGAAAAACCGAACAATTGCAAAACCACACCCAACGGTTTTAAGAATGCAAAAATCGCACCATGCTGTTTGCAGCTCGGTTTGGTCTGAAAACCGCACCAAACTGCATCATGCTCACCCCTAGGTGAAGTCTACAATTTAGTCTACGATATATATATATATATATATATATATATATATATATATATATATATATATGGGAGGGTTCAATTGAGAAAAAAAAAGGTTGAGAATGGGAGAATCATTCTCAGTCAATCATTTATTTTTGCCGCAAAAGGCTCCAACGTACCGGCTAAAATGGGAAACGAATGCACATGTGTTTTTGAACATAACATATTTCCTTAAACTATGCTAATCATTACGTTAATATATACAAAAACATAGTTTTTTTCGTTTTTTTAAATTTTTATAAGCTATTTTTATCAAAAAATGATTTTAAATATACCAAAATTCATGATTTTTTATTCTCTACAAATAGACATCTATATTGATATAGTTTTAAAATAAAATAAAAAAATTATTTTTTTTTATATTTTCAGCTATTGTTATTCATAAATGAATAACAATGCATCAAGTTTTATTACAGTACATTCGTTATTCACTTATGAATAAAAAAGTATGATTTTTTTTTTACAATTTAAGTATCATTTATATATGAATATAACATATAATAAACATAGTATATCCATATGTTAATATTGGACGATGAATTCACTTGTGAATATTAACATAGTATATTCACTTGTGAATATTAGATGATATATTCACTTATGAGTATTAAATGATATTTCATATGTAAATATTACATATTATTACATGGTATATTACATGTGAATATTACAAAGTATATTCACTTATGAATATTAGATGATATATTCACTTATGAATATTACACAGTATATTCACATATGAATATTAGAAGGTATATTCAATTATGAATATTGAAGGTATTTTGACAAATATATATAATTTTTATATGTTATTCACATATGAATAACATACAGACTTGCCTATTTGTTTTGTGTTTTTAATAATCGTATACTTATTCAGGTGAAAAAACATATTCATATGTGAATATAACGTGGTAATTTAGTTTATGCATTTCATAAAACAGTTGGAGTGCAAACAAGTTAACTATTTTAAAAATGTTAAAAACATCAAGTTATGAATTCTAAATCATCATATACTTCCGATTTCAATTTCAGATGCGACATCCTATCTCTGATCGATTTCTCAATTTGATTTTGATTTTCGAAAATCCGATTGGGAACCTGTGAGTACCGATTCTAAGTCCCTCAATGTCGATTGTGATTGCGAGTCCAGAACTCTGATTCTAATTTCATGAACAGCGCAAAAATTCCGGTTTATTTGAAGAAATTTGGATGATTATTGAAGGTTGGAGGAAAATTTTTGATGATGAACGAACGGTTATCGAATTCTCTATAGTTACGTATTTGAGATTGAAGGTTATTACGATATTTACAAGTTTGTCACCGTATCTTTTATGCTTAGATTAAATGAGTGGCTAAGAATGATTCCCTCATTCTCAACCTTTTTTATTTTCTCAATTGAACCCACCTCTCTCTCTCTCTCTCTCTCTCTCTCTATATATATATATATATATATATATATATATATATATATATATATATATATATATATATATGGGAAAAGTGAATATACCCTTAAGGGTATATAAGTTTAGGTACTCAAACTCACCATACTACATCGTTTTGTATCATATATAGACATTGTAATTGTCCAATGTTGTTATAATTCAACTTCTAAATTGAATTACTTCAAAGATTTTTATAAATTTCATATTTATCTTCCACTTACATAATTGTCATTTTCAACGATAATATATATAGCCTAGTAAGTGTTCAACAAAAAGATGTGATGTAAGAGGAAGATAATATTGAAAATTTAAAAATATTGAATATAAATCAAGTTAAGGATTGAAGTTTAACAATATTATAATGAATATATCAAACAAAACGACGTATTATTATGAGTTTGGGTACCTAAGCTTATATACCCTTAAGGGTATATTCACTTTTCCATATATATATATATATATATATATATATATATATATATATATATATATATATATATATTATATATATATATATATATATATAACTTTGTCATCTTCCTAAAAAAACTATTTCGGATTTCCCCTATCATTTTTACCTGCAATCAAAGGCTTTTGGATTATTTTTAATTTTTTTATTAAAGTCTAAAAAGAATTAAACTATATTTGTATTTTTCTTTCTAAATTATGTCACGAGTGAGGATGTGGACAAATGAAAGTTAAGTAAAGCGTAGGGGCGGAGACTGTCTTTTTTTTTTTTTTCTCTCTCTCTATTGAACAAGAAAAAGTGGGTATTCTTTTCATTTTTCATTTTTCTTTTTAAATTTTCTTGTATTTTCCATTTCCTTCACATATAAAGCCGCCACTCCTCTGCTCTTCCATCAATTCATTCATCCATTGTCTCCCAAACATACAATACAATACAAATCTGATTTCTTCCATCATCTTCTAAGTTTAACATATCTCAACAAGCAACTATTCTAACATGAATTGCGCTCAAGCACACTCCAAAAACCTTCAAAAGGGTAATAAATAATGTTTCTTCTCTTTCTTTCTTGTTGGGGAATTTACAACCCTAAACGGAATTCATGTTTTTGAGGCGTAATGGCAGGCGGAAAGAAGGAGATGAAGTACGTTTTGGTCACCGGAGGAGTTGTTAGCGGACTGGGGAAAGGCGTCACTGCTAGCAGTATCGGCCTTCTTCTTCAAGCCTGCGATCTTCGCGTTACTTCCATTAAAATTGGTTCGCATCTTTCTGTTTATGGAGAATACACAAATTTCCCTCACTGGTTTCCTTGATTTTGTTTTCGATAACTTATTTCTTACTCGGATTGGGTTGTTTTTCACTTTCACTTTCCCATCTTGTTCATCTTTGATCTATCTGCTTATTTTCGTTTCAACATTTCTAGGTTTTCTTCTTCGAATAAAAAAAGAGAGAACATTTTAATACCCTTTTGTAATCACCAACTGGGTTTTACATGTTCTTGCTAAATCCCACTCGTCATTATCAAAATCTGGATATGGTGATTTCCTGTCTCATTGTCGTACACAACCACACTACGTAATTGAGATTTCAGGGTTTGGATTTACTTTTAGATTAAAAAACTACACAATCTCAAGATTTATCAAGCTAAATCGAAAGTATTGTTCATTTATCTGTTTAATTTTTTGTTTTTAATGTCTAATTTTTCTTCGCAGATCCGTATCTGAACACAGATGCAGGAACTATGTCCCCTTTCGAACATGGAGAAGTCTTTGTTTTAGACGATGGAGGAGAGGTGAAAATTATTGAAATTTACAGAAAAAGATTACGATTTGGGAACCTCTAAAAAGTATATTCAATATAAAATTCTTTACTAATATCCAAAAACCCATTTGTCCATTTCAAAAATGGGACCTTCATGACACTCCATGGCCCCTCCTTATCTCCGCCACTGTTTCTAATTATGAATAAATCGATTAACATCCAAATTAATTGATTAATTAATTAATTGATTTAATTTTAATGATTTGAAGGTGGATTTGGACCTAGGAAACTACGAGCGATTTCTTGATATCAAGTTAACACGTGATAATAACATCACAACAGGGAAGATTTATCAGGTATTAAATCATTAATTACAAAAAAAAAAAAAAAAAGCAGATTTTTGAAACGAATTAAATCACGAATCATGAAAGATACGAACTTATTGTTATTCGATATGATTTTTGATTGAAGTATGTGATTGATAAAGAGAGGAAAGGAGATTATCTTGGATCAACGGTTCAGGTTGTGCCACATATTACCGATGCGATTCAAGATTGGATCGAACGTGTGGCAGCGATACCTGTTGATGGGAAAGATGGTTCGCCAGATGTTTGTGTGATTGAGTTGGGGGGTACTATAGGTATTCATTAATTATTTCTTGTTTTGTTTCCATAAATGATTTCTCATTTATTTTATCTTTTTACTAAAATGGGTTGTTTGAATTTTCAGGGGATATCGAATCCATGCCGTTTATTGAAGCTCTCGGACAATTCTCTTATCGTGTTGGTAAATATTTTAAATATCCTATTGGTATTAATACCAGATACTGTAATACTCTGGTATTTATATCAGACTATTACAGTATATTGGATTATTACCTGATCCTGTAATACTCTGGTATTTATACCAGACTATTACGGTATCAGCTTGATAGTGTAATAATTTGTTTTAACTTTTTTAGGTGCCGGGAATTTTTGTTTAATACATGTGAGTCTTGTGCCGGTTTTAAATGTTGTTGGTGAACCGGTAAGTCTAAAATGAGAATTTATTCGTTTTGTGTTTTAAAATGTGAAGAAATTTGTTAAAATTTAAAATGTTTAATTTTTTTTTTTTAGAAAACAAAACCAACCCAACATAGTGTTCGTAAGTTAAGGAGCTTGGGATTAACACCGGACATATTAGCATGTCGCAGCACAACGGTTGGAATAAGTCTAAATAAAATTTAAAATGTTTAATCATCATTTTTTTATTTTTTATTTTATAAGTTATACTCAAGTTTAATAAATATGCAGGAATTGGATGTGAGTTTGAAGGAAAAACTTTCAAGATTTTGCCATGTCCCGGTATATATATATATATATATATATATATATATAATATATTTATTATTTATATACACCAGAAACTATTCCATTGAACTCGTGTGTATGACTTTTGATTTTTGAAATGAGTCTTCAATAAATAATTCCTTTGTTTGCAGTTACAAAACATAGTCAGTTTGTACGATGTCCCCAATATTTGGCATATTCCTTTGCTCTTAAGAGTACGTACTCGTTCCACCTTTTAAATTTCATTCTTGTTATTAATCTGTTTTGTTGAATGGAATGGAATCACAAGTGAATGGAATGGAATCACAAACGAAAGTTATGGAATAAAAAAAGACACTCTAGATTCTAAGGAATCAAAATTAACAAAACGGAAGGAAACAAACAATTTTTATTTTATCTTCCATTCCGACGGAATCAGTGATTCCATTCCATTCTTTCCATGATTCCATCGTACCAAACACTAAATCTTTTCTTCTATTTTATCTTTATAGGACCAGAAGGTTCATGAATCAATCCTGAAAACACTTAATCTTCTAAGGTTTGTCCTCCTTCCATAAACCAATACTCTCACACTTAAACTTCAATTCCGATGGAATCAGAAATTCCATTCCTTTGTACAGTGTGGTACGCAAACCGGTGTTAGGGGAATGGACAGCCATGGCTCAACGGTGTGACATGTTACAAGAGCCAATCAGAGTTGCCATGGTTGGAAAGTACACCGGTCTTTCCGATTCCTATCTATCTGTACTCAAGGTAATAATAAATTAATAATAATTTTCATTTCGATTATTTTCAAAAATATTAATATTTAATTTTTTTTTCAGGCTTTATTACACGCTTCGGTTGCTTGTAGAAGAAAGCTAGTAATCAATTGGGTTTCCGCTACTGAACTTGAAAATTCAACCGCTTTAGAAGTGATTATCTTCTTCTTCTACTTCTTCATCACTTTTTTAACCGAAATTATATGATGTTAATGGACGATTTTACCCTTACAGAGTCCAGATGTTTATAAAGCTGCGTGGAACTCATTGAAAGCCGCAGACGCTGTTGTTGTTCCAGGGGGTTTTGGCGATAGGGGCGTTGAAGGGAAAATAATTGCAGCAAAATACGCTCGTGAAAACAAAATTCCATATCTTGGGATTTGTTTAGGAATGCAAATTGCTGTGATTGAGTATGCGAGATCTGTTCTTGGGTTACAAAATGCAAATAGCACTGAATTTGATCCTGAAACTAAAAACCCTTGTGTTATATTTATGCCCGAGGTTTGTATTCAAATTTCAATATTCAAACTAATAATTAATTTAAAATATTGATTCTTTGAACACGCTTTTGATATTGTATGTTTTATAATAGGGTTCAAAAACTCATATGGGTGGGACTATGAGGCTTGGATCTAGGAAGACGTATTTTCATGCCACAGATTGCAAATCAGCTCAACTGTAAGAAAAAACCGATTACTTTATAGCTTATTAGTTTTAATTATTTCTTGAAGATAATAAAATGTAACGAAAATTAAATTGTGTCATTAGATATGGAAATCAGAGCTTCATTAGTGAGAGACACAGGCATCGATATGAAGTATGTTTGTCGTTAATATATATGATTGTGTGAAATTTAATCATTTATATTCATTGCAATGAATATATTTTTTTTCTAACCTTTTGATTTAAAAATTAGGTGAATCCGGATATGGTGTCACAACTAGAAAAAAGTGGACTTAGTTTCACAGGGAAAGATGAGACTGGTCAGAGAATGCAGGTGGGTTATTTTGTATAAATTCATGAGTAATTTACAAAACTAGTCCCTTTACTTTTCGACTTGTACCATGTCTAGTCTGAAACTTAAACCGTTTTCAGTTTTGGTTCTTATTTCAAGGCTTCTTATCGATTTTGGTGTCCGGAACCTTGAAATAAAGACCAAAATAAAAAGTTCTTAGGGACCAAACTTGATACAAAAACTTGAAATAAGGAACAAACATGGTAAGAATCAGGAAGCGTAGGGTCTCATTTTGTAATTTACTTTAACATACAGATTGTTGAACTCGCGAGTCATCCGTATTTTGTGGGAGTTCAATTCCATCCGGAATTCAAGTCTAGACCAAGGAAACCTTCGCCACTTTTCATAGGTGAGTTTTTCATTATCAAAGCACATATAAATAGTTAAATAACAATTATTTAAAAAAAAAAAAATAAAAGATTAATTTTTGGTTAAAAATGCAGGACTTATCGCAGCAGCTTGTGGGCAGTTGGATGCCTTGTTGAAAAAGAACATTGGCATGAAGGTGAACATCGGGTATACTAATAATAACAATAATGCCATTGGGAAGGGGGGTCTCGGGGTTATCGCCACATCATCGATATGGTAACGTGAAGGTGAATGTAAACGTGAATGTAAACAATGGTTTGCATGTGTGAAAAAAGGAGTTTGTTGTTATAAGAATATTATAGCTTAGGACTCCTTTTGAGAAAAAAAAAAAAAAAAGAAACGAGGTTATGGTTTTGTATAGTATGGATCGATGGATGGATGGATGGATGGAGCAGGCATCCGGTGTTTTTTAAGTTCGGAAGAGCCTTGTGTTTTGTAGTGGAGAAGTTGTAATGGTAGTTTAAAGAACCCTTCTACTCTATAGTTTTCTATAAGAAGCTCTTGGGCATATGCTTGTAGAAAAGATCGAATTTTAGAGTCTTGATGAATAGGTAAAGGGTTAGTGTCCGAGGAGCTTTGGAGTGTGCGGATTTCAATTTTAAATTTCCAAGTATGGAATTTCTTCTTTGTGTTGTATGGTATCCTCTACTCGAAATTATTATTGAGTGAGTAGTTAATATCATGGTGTTTTTAGTGAAATCTTGAATGAATTTGTGTTAATGTCTTAGATATGTTGAGGAAACTTTGAACAATTGATTGACATTTTCGCATTTCATCACACTTTCCATCTTAACAAAATGAGCTTTTAAGTTCTTGTTCATAACAAAATAACCTAGAGATTGTACTTCTCAACCAATATGTGAATCTTGATGTATTTGTTGTTTGGTAAACATCTTGAAATAACCTAGAGATTGTACTTCCTTTTTGTGGCAATTACGACATTACTAAAGCTATTTGATTCTATGATGTTTAATGCCAATATGGAAGCCATTACTAAAGGGTGACCAGAAGTAAGTTTTGAAATTTATAACTTTAATATTCTATTTTCCTAAGGTTAACATCTTTCTTTAAATAATTGGACACTAATAAAGTATGGTGACCAGAAGTAAGTTTTGAAATTTATAGCTTTAATATTCTATTTTCCTAAGGTTAACACCTTTCTTCAAATAATTGGACACTAATAAAATATGGGAGTTTGATAAAGTAACATAATTTAATATTTCTTTTCATGGACTAAAATTGAAGTTTTAGAATTATGGTTAATTAAATGCATGCCTTCTTGAATAGCTTCATGACACCGTTACATACCATCTTGTCTTCTTGTTGAGTATTTGATAATGAGTTATGATTATGTAGGTGTTGGAGGTCAAGGACTTTGTCACTTTGTGATGGTAGTCATATAAAGCACAACACATTAAAATGATTGAGGCTTATGGTGTACATTATGAAGCCATGATCATGTTTTTATTTCCTTAAGTGTCTTCAAATAGTAATCATTTTACATGAATCTCATATTGAGCACGCATAACAATGTATTTGGTATTCAACTTGATTTCGCTTATTTTGAGAACATGATTGCCCCATGTTCTTCTTTATGTTTGGGTTGGAATCGCAACACATTGGCCGGTTTGCGACTCACGACAACTTGCTAATTTGGGTTTGCAATGATATCAATTCTACATATCTTTGTAGGGAAAATCACAAGAAAAGCAACATAGTTTTCCTTAGACAATGTGCTTTACTTTTTACATGTGATAACTATAATGCACACAGATTCATGCTAGTTAATTTAGAGATAATAAGCATCAAAAATGACTTTTTGATAGAATATTATATAAAATAAATAATCTTAACTAAGTTATAGTATATGTCACAAAGGTTCCGTACATATAAAGAACATTGAAATCCGAGTTATAACGAAGAAGTTATGATCTGTCGAAGTTTCGCGACAAAACCGGCACGACACCGGAAATTGTAAAAAGAAAGTGATTTTACGATAATATACTTTTTAGCCTTAGTGATCTAAAAAAAGTTGTACAGTACGTCTCCACCTACGCGTGGATATAAAAAACATTAAAAATGGAGCTCGTATGCAAATGTTATGATCTTCCGAAGATGTAGCTGTCTGAGAGCATGAAACGTGACAAAAAAAAAAAAAAAAAAAAAAAAACCTAATTTGTACAGGATCACGACGTGAGAATGTTTTCTCATGACATGAGGATTCAAAAGGACACTTTTCAAGGCTAGAATGCAGATGACAAGTCTACGGAGTGATAAGTTTAAGGCTCACGACATGAGGATGTTTGAGGAGTCAAACGGATACCATTCGAAGATAGAAACACGAATGGAAAGTGTACGAGATGATACAGCCATGGCTCACGACGTAAGAGAGCCAAAATACCCTATAAATAGCAAGTTCTACTCTTTCATTCCTTACACCAAATTCTTCTCTCTCTCTCTCTCCCTCCCTCTCTCTCTCTCTCTCATTTGCTGAAGGCATTCTGCGTCCCGATCCCAACGATCACGAACTGCTGACTATTTCTAGTTAGATTCTGTCAAATCCCACTACTAAGGTGAGTGCATAGTTACTTTCATCTTATACATAGATATAAAGTATTTTATATAAATTACGTGCTATGTGTGCATATTATCTGTGTTTATGATATCTATGCTAGATGAACAAAATATACAGGTTTTATTCGATTTAAACTGTGTATGTATTTTATACATATAAATTACAATGGGTAAAGTTGGGTGGATGAAAGATGATATAGATCATGAGAAATGAAAGATGAGGATGAGAGGTGAAAAATAATGAGAAGCGTTTACCCAAGTGTTGGCCCCGTCATCTAATAGAGTATAGATAACAACCACGGCCAATTCTAGACGGTCCGGTGAAACACTAGCAGGCTCGCAACATATAGGTGTTGTGAACAATACGTTCACCCGATGTACTCTAAAAATCCTAACAATTATGGATTTAGTGCCTCATAAATGAACATTGGCAGCTATAGACTTCGTGCCTTACAAATGAACAATGGTAGCTATGTACATAGTACCTTACAAATAACCATTGACAGCTATGGACTTAGTGCCTTATAGATAACATCAGCATCTATGGACTTAAATCGGTCCATTCAAGCCATTAATAAACACATACATTTGCCTTATAGCTATGTACGTGTTGTGAACAATACGTTCATCGCTGTCAGGATCTACCCTACAAATAACCATTCTTTTCTTAAGACCAAATTAGGTCCTAGGGTTTAGTTTATTAACCGAAATCGGTCCATTCAAGCCCTAATCAACACATACATTTGCGAAATCGGCCCTAATTCAAGAACCCCATAAACCCTAGATTTCGAACAAAGGCTAAATGCAGCTAATACCATTAATTTAAACACAAATTTACGTGAGATGGCTTCCGAATAACATACCTTAGTGTCGAATTTTACAAGAAAAGAAGAAGAATCAGAGATCTTGGAGAGAGTTTTGTCGGTCACAGTTCTTGTGTGCTAAAGGAAGGAATGTGAAAAGAATAACAAAGAAGTCAAAGGTCAAAAGATATAACCTGGTCGTCGTGTTACGCTGAGCGTAACGCAAAGTTACGCGGGGCGTAACCTCACCTCCTTGAAAATCCATACGCGATCAGATGTCAATTACGCTTGGCGTAATAAAACTTACGCGGTGCGTAAGTTTAAATGAAAATCCCCCCCCCCCTTTTTTTTCTTTAATTTAACTTCCTTTTCTTTTAATTATTTAATTAAGGGACTTAAAACTTAATTAATTTTTTTTCTTTTTAATTTCTCCAGCAAATGACTTTCCGATGAGTGAAAAAGAAAATGAGACGTCATAATCACTTATCTTTGTCGAGATCAAACAACAACGGTTGATCAAAAACCTTTGCATGCAAGAATTGGTTTACGAAAATACCTACTTTCGGGACCCGTTAGAATATTTCTTTTGTTTTCCTTGCACCTTTAACTAAAAGCGGAACAAGAAGTGACCTAACTAGTCAAGAACAGCAAGAGCTCGGTCTTCCACTTAACCACCACAATACGCCTTGCTATACTACGCCTCATGGATTGAGTTGGACAAGTAGTAGGCTAAGCAGGTTAAGAATTCCCTAATTGCTTTCATTCTCGAAACCCATGCAAAAAGTAAAGTCAAGTAATGTGTACAATCCCAAATTCCTGCAAATAAAAACAAGAACCTTCCCGACAAGTGAAATGATATCAACGAAAATCAAACTAAAAATAAAAACTAACTAAAAACAAATAACAAATAATCAAATAAACTAAATTAATTGACAAACCGTTCCCCGGCAACGGCGCCAAAAACTTGATGTGCACGAAAGTACCCATTAATTTTAATATTTATAACCTAACAAACTTAGACTAACTATGCACTTATAGGCAGTGTACCTAGTCAGATTACAGTATAGCTTAGGTAAGTCGGGTGTCGATCACAGGGAACGGTGGATTAATTTAATATATTTGATTATAGGTTACAGGTCACACGAAAAGAATAAAAGAAATAGTTTAATAAATCTCAAACTAATAATTAATTAACAACTCTCGATAAACTAACAGGAAAATAAATCTCTTCATGTACTTTGGTTTAGACAAGTTACACCTTAAAAACATAGATAATTGCATACACAAAGTCATTTATTCATGTTCACCGATTCCTAAAATGATTAGATTCGCGTTCACTATAACTAATCCTTTAGTAAACAAGTCAATTCAAACAATGATCAATTGGTTAAACTAACATGCTTCCTAGTGTTCAGTTCGTATCAAGCAAGACTTGCAAATATAGTTAATCAAATTAGACATTCAATTAACCTCTTGTTGATGGTCATCAAACAAGGATCACACATTAACTTACTTATTCCCATGTTAATCCTAGTTTCGCATTCGTTATTCCTAGACTTATAATCTCGATGGCCATCAAAATCATAAGAGACAAGCAATCAAGCATATGTTCATACAACTCAATTCACTTAACAATTAACAACAAATAATTATCATTAATACATAAGGATCTTTTAACAAGCTTGGCAAGATAAATTAAACACAAACAAACTATTCAATATAGCAATTAGTCTAATAATCAAAGCTTCATTCAATCATAAACACAAAGTAAAAGGTTTTTACACCCAAGTCAGAAACTAATACAGAATAGTAACACAATGGAATGCTAAACATGGTCACGTTAACAGCCCATATGATTACCGACACGTATCCGCTCTCCAACCCTTCCGATCTCCGCTCCCGTTAGCTTAACGGCCTTCCGTCCGCCTTCTAGACCCTCAAAACGGCTTAACAAAAGTTAATTATCGACTGAATTAGGTTAGAAGTCGAATCCCCCCTTCTGGTTAGCTGAAAATCGACTTTTATAACCTTTGTAGCCGACTTAAGTACGTTGGGCATACATAGGATTACGCGGGGCGTAGTCAAGATTTACACGCGATTAAAGTTATCCGAGGCCAACCAGTACGCGGGGCGTACCCTTTAATTACGTGGGGCGTAAGTCGCTTTGGTTATTACGCGGGGCGTAATCTCCATTTATGCGGGGCGTAATCGTCTAACCAGCATTTTAATTTCTTTAAGCTTC